TTGTTTACATATTTGACAAAACGCAGAATATAATAAATGTTTATGTTAATTTTTTTTCTATGTGTTTTGGAAAACTCTTTTTTCGAAATAAATAGTTCAGATTAATAGTTTAACTTAGTGCGAAGTTTTCGTAGGAAAATAGTTCGTCAGCCCATATTTTCTTGAGCTAATTCTTTATCTTAGTTATATACCATTGTTAGAATTGTCTTTTGAATAATGCAAATCTCCGTACAGTTGTTGCTATCAAGCTGACCCTCATCAACATTGCTATCTTGTGTTTACATAACACAAATCAATAAATACGTCAATATTGAGATATGAGGACATAGGACTAGTCGATTACACGCTTAAACAATTTAAAAGAAAGTTTTTTGACACACTCAACATAAAAGTATGCATATTGTGATTATAAATGTACAATAATATTCAATTGTTGCTTTGTCTAGCTGTGCAATTCTAGGTTCTATCGTCCTAGACTACTCTAGTTTAGGTTTTTATTTGGATGGATACTAATTTTACCCATTGGGGCCTCCGATACATGAAGAGTTATGGTACAATTCACTAATTAATCACTACAAAAAAAAAACAATCATTCTTAGCACACGATTAACGTCATTATATATGTTTAGTAGCGTTTTCATTTAATTACAGGACTATTTTTTTTTAATCAACGAAGTTACACGACTACTTAAAATTGTAAAAACTAAATAAATTTTGGATTTAGTTTTGACCAAAGTACATATTTAAAATATTTTGTTTGCATAATATATTTTTTTTTGTCAACAAAGAAACAAAATTAGCTCATAAGAGCCAATTTGGAAGACCATTGTTTACATACTTAACAATGAACGGAATGGTGCGAACATTTCGCGCTAGAAAATTAGCTTTTACATTCAAGAAATAAGAGATAGAGAGAAGGTAGAAAATTCTTTCCTGTCAACAACAATATTTTGTTTACATAATATGATAACCTACAAATCCTAAACTAATGTAAAAATACAAAAATTTAGTTTTAAACTCGAAATGAAGAGCCAAAATAATTAGCATGCACCTCACGTAATATAAAATACTGATACATTAATTTATTTTCTTTCGAGAAATTGTCCGTTTTTGATATTTTGACATATTTAGGTTTCTGAAAAAAGGGGTGGCCGTGCTTTTATAACAGAGGCCACCCCTTTTTTCAGAAACCTAAAGAGGACGCTTTTATAACAGAGGCCACCCCTTTTAGTATTGTATACATTGCACGGTTACTAAAAACCATAATTCGACATAAGTTACAAAATATGATTAACAATCTCCTCTTTAACAGTGCAATGTATACAATACTAAAGCTTTGGCTCCATTAAAGGAAACATATTCTACAAAACCTGATTGAAGAAGAGTATATGTAGAATATGTAGCAAAACATTACAAGCTTTTATAACGAGTATATGTAGGGGGAGTTATTGGGAGATTGATTTTAAAATAGTTTGTAGATTTCAAAAGTTAAGAGATTTTAAGATTCTCAAAAAGATTTGTTGATTTTAAAATAATGTTTACCCAGATTTTTAGAGTTTAATAAATTCTTCATATGATAGACTCTACAAATCCTTATGATAATTGCAGTATTTTGAAAGTTGTTTTTAATGACTAAATATGTAAAGAATCATTAAACCAATAACACTAGAATTTGATAGAAGTTGAAAATCAATAAATACTCAACTTTTTGAATAACAAAGGATTTTAAATAGAACTAGAAACGGACCCGCGCTACAGCGCGGGGAAAAATATTTATCTAATATATAATTAAAAGTTATAATAAAAGAAGAAATCGAGTATATGAAAACTTTAAATGATTCCACTTGTAAAATATACACGCTTATATTGTATGTATGTTTTAACAGACCAACTCTTAAAAAATGTTTTTAAAAAATATTAATCATAACCCGTTTGACTATATGATTGTGAGTTTACAAACCAGTCGTGTATTACTAAAAATATCATCGACATAAATGCATAATATTTGAAAAAGCATTATCCAATGAAAGTGATTGGAAATGCCAATATATACCAAAAAATAAGAATAATAAATCATTCACTTGCAAATTCTAAAATAACAAAAAT